GCAAGCCTTAGGGTTTGGGTAGGGTGGGGGTGTGTGGGGTGGGGGTGGGAGGGGAGAGAGGGTGGGGCCAGCCCAAGTGGAACACAGACTGTGCAGCGCCCACGAGCTAGGCGCTGCACATTACATGTGTGGCGCCTAAGACTTAGACGCTGCACAGGTGCGTGTGGGGCCGCAGCTGGACCAGGGCTGCCACGCTGGCAGGAAGTGTGGCGCCTAAGTGATGGGCGCTGCACAGTAGGGTGCGACGCCCAGGTGTCGGGCGCCACACGAAAGGGTCAGCAGAGTGAAATTTTTTTGAAAGCAGGTCAGTTTGTGAATTGATTTCTGCCTCAGGTCAAATATGTGATTTTTACCGGTTTGCATTTGGGGGCTCACTCACCTTGGAGGTTGGGGAGGAGGTGGTCACGCGCGAACCAAGCAGCGTCGGGGCCTCGGTGGCCATCAAAGACACCAATGACAGTGCCGAGGGGTGAGGCCGACTCTATACAACACTGGTCCTCGAGCAAATGGTTGGCCTGCACGACGGAGACAGAGACGTCTCCGGCTTGGCAGGGCACAAGGTCGTGCCACCAGAGACCGTCACGGCCCTCAGAGGTGACTTTCTTTCTTTTTGCGGGGACCTCAGAGGCCGCTTTTGAGGTGGGCCACACCCCAGCAAACGCAGAGAGGAGCTTGTTAAGTGTCCCACCAGATCGCTGACCAGAATCTTGAGTTTTGTGATGTTCAGTTGAGTCTTCCTTCAGGACCTTGTGTTCTAGAATCTTGAGTTCTTCCTCTTTCATTCCCATACTTGTAACCTCGTTCTGCTCCAAAAGTAAACTTATACCTTCGTCCCCACACTTGATTCTAGGATTGAAATCAGACTCTGCATCAGCGGCACCTGCACAAAATTGTTGCAATTTTAGTGCCAGTGAGAAATTCATTCCATGATTTTATTTTAAAAATACGTTTTATATACTTTAAGTGCTTTGTTAAAGTTTTAATGTTTTTCCCAAGGAAAAGCTTTATCTCTGTGCATCTATTTATCAACTTGTTTGCCGATATGCCATATAGATATACAGACAAGATGATTACCTGAACTCGCGTATTGGTTGGACGTCTTCTTGCTTTCTGAGTTGGTGACCTACAACACCAAAAGTTTAGAGGGGTTCAGCTCTTATCACCTATTGGTTTCTTTGTCGGTCATTATGCAGGGAAATGAGGCGGACAAAGAGGCACTGCAGTGGTGGGGTGGGGACAACAACTAATTGAGCAAGTGTTTCAAGGCTTCAAGAGTTTGGCATCCAATAATACAACAGATCAGGGACTGAATTTCAATGTAGATTCACTGTAAACCTCTAGAAGTCATGGGACTCATAGTTGGCCCAATGACTCCTGAGCTACTATTACTAAAAACTGAACTACTACATGCTTTTGTTTCTATTGATGGAAATTTGAGGCTTTCATACCACTTGTTAAAAAAATCTTAATTACAGATGCCTCTAGTCAACTGTGAACCAATAGCAGTATTTAAAAGATGAACATGTCCTACTAAAACAGCATATGTCCTACTAAAACAGCATTTCTATCGTAGACGTAGTTAAACCAAATTTCAGTGATCAGTGGTTATTTCAAACATGAAACAGCTCGCACTCTACTTTCAGTTTTTTTTCTCCTACTTTCATTTTGTTACATGGGAATACTTAGAATAATGATTTTGACATTTACTTTTGCTTGGAAAAATAGTTTTGCCAAATTAAAGGCAAGTAGTTTGGGTGATGAATATACCAACAAGCCGTGGCTCGGTTGGTAGACTGTGTGGCGGGACCATGCCAAGGTACTCCGCGGAACAGTAGGTTCTGAACTGCAGAATTTGCTTCGTGGACCTTTCGCACAGGGGTATGGACCTCCTCATGGACCTTTGGTTAATAATTACAGGATATGGCAGGGAATTCAGCTTACTAATTCCATACAACGTAGGATGAGGAAAGGCACAACTTGTAAAGTGTAAACAAAAGGGAACTCATGTTGCAGGTGAAAATAAGATTAAAACTGTAGAAGTGTGACAATACCTGGTCAATAAGTGACCTTTTCGCAATATCAATCTTATTAAGTTCATCGACAATCTCGGCTATAGAAGGCCTTTTTACTCTGTCCGTCTCCACACATCTTAATGCTATTTCAATGCAAGTCTTAACTTCACTTGCTGTATGCAATGCCATTGTTGCCTGCAGCGTTTTCAACCAGTTGCCATGTACCTGCAGGTTTAAAACACAATGCCGAAAGGTGACATGCATGTGCTGAGGTAAGTCGATACCATATTATCTGAGAAAAGGGTTGCTGTCCACGATTTAGAATTTTTTTTCTTACAAGATCAATAAACTCTTGGGAAGACATGTCTCCACATTGGGAGTAGCCCTCACGTCCTGCCATTATTTGTATAATGATAACGCCCAAACTGAATACGTCAAACTTTGGTGTGATTTTGAATCTGTCGATGTATTCTGGCGGCATGTATCCACTGCATAGCAGAACATACAATTATTTTTATAGAAAGTTAACAAAAGAGGTTGATAATCTTCATGTAGACACAACTTATGGTGTTCCTCTAATTGCTTTTGTGGTACAGGTTTGTGTTGAATCGAAGAGTCTCGACAGCCCAAAATCTCCTATTTTTGGTGTCATGTTCTTATCCAACAATATGTTTGCAGATTTCAAGTCCAGATGGTATATAGGATCTTTGGAACCATTATGAAGGTAATGTAATCCCTCGCATATTCCCCTAATTATTTTGTAACGAGTGCGCCAACCAAGCCCGCATGATTCATCTCTAAGAGTAAATAGAAAGCTCATTATCAGGACGCAAAATTCGGAGGTTGTTTCGCTTTACATATAAAACTGATATATAGTCTTAGTAGAGCATAGTCATACCCGAAAGATGCTTGTCAAGGCTTCCTCCATGCAAGTATTCAAAGCAAAGTGCTCTATCTTCCACGCTAGCTAAAACATATCTCCCATTGTGCTCCAGAGCTTTATGTGCTATTTCATAGCAGTAGCCAACTAAGCGCACAATATTTTGATGTTGGACCATCATAAGGTTAGTACACTCATTTGCAAATTGCTTGTCGTCGTCAAGTTCTGGATGCTTAAAAGAAAGCTTCTTCACGGCAATCTCTTCTCCATTGTCGAGTACTCCCTGTTAAATAATATCTGGTAAATATGGCATATGGTTTCTTGTACTTAGTGGTACTAACATTTGAAATAATCATACCTTGTAAACTACTCCATACCCGCCATAACCAATTATGCGATCCTTGGAGAAGTTATTTGTAATGTGTTGTAACAACTGGAATGTAAAATCCCTTGGCATTGCACTTGTATGCTGTAACTCGTTCTCCATGGTGTTCTGAAACTCCTAACAGGATTGGGTTCGCCACCTCATCTGTGTGATATAAAAGTATAAAACAGAAATCCTTCACATAAGACATGATGATGTATATGCATAACTTCTGCAAACAATACACATGTTGCTATGTCCTGAAAATGACTAACTGTGAACACTTGCATTTAAACTAGTGTCTTGGTAGGATTTACAATCCGATAAGAGGCCAATTACTATTGCACTCGACCTAGTAATTAACTTTCATTTGTTTTCTGGGAAGGAGCCCGCAGCAACCTAAACTAACAAGAAGTTATTATGAAGGCTGGTAAGCCCAAGCAAACCTTAAAAATTGGTTTCAACTCAGCAGGAATACACACGGGAAAGGAAAAAATAATACTAACTAAAAGATATGCATGAGCTGGCGCTTAGTCTTGTCTCCTCTGTAGAATGGCCGCTGCCGTCCTCCCTTTCTAGTAAGTTTCAGTTAATGAAGCCGTGAGAGACCTCTTTTCTCCACAAAAACAATTAATTAGAGCTGGAGACTGAAGGACCCCACGGCCGTGAGGAGGTAAATCTGCTCCTTGAAAAATGGCGAAAGGGTTGTGGGGAGGAAGACCAGATCTGGGCCCATACCAGATCTACCTGCCGTCAGATGCGGCGGCAGGAAAGCCGCCAGACGGTCCACAGCAGCAAGCCCACCGGAGCATTTTAGGTAACAAAAGCAAGAGTTAAGATGAACTTGTGCTAACCTGGAACGGAGTGGCAGTGGGGACGCACGTATGCGACGGATCCGGAGTTCGGACGGAGATCCAGCTAGAGCTTGACGGTACTGGTTGACTGTCGCTGTCTCCTCTAATGATGATTATTATGTACCTCAAAGAAAAAATAACTGACCATTGGTCGGCGGCTACGTAACGGTATGGACGAGTCGTTTTTAATGCTACAAAATCTTTCTTTTTTTTAGAAAAGGTGATTATGGCTAGCTTTATTGGACTAAAGAACAATTACATCGTTTACTAGTTGGCTAAGTAAAAACCCCGGTGGTTCATTAGCCCAACTATTGTCACACTTATTATAAAAACTGAACTTAGCTACTTCGTGAGCAACAGAATTTGCATCACGAAAACAATGCTTAAAGATGACCTTCCCTATTGACGTAGCTATATCAACGCATTCCGTAAAGATTGCCGTTGCCGCATCCCACCATTGAGCCTACCCTTGACAGTAATTCACCACATTCAGATAATCGGATTCTGCTTCAACTCTGTTAAAACCCAAAGAATTTGCCAGGTATAGTCCATCGCGCATTGTCATTGCTTCAACAGTCATTGCATCAGCTGCGTTTTGGATGAGTCTACATTGAGCTGCTATGAATATTCCTCTTGCATCACGCAAAATCTTGCTTCGGCATCTTGAGTGAGAAAACCTCTAATCCCTACAGCTTAAGAAAAAAAAACCTAAAAACTGCCAAATCCTTAACAGCCGGTTTGATTGGGGAATTAATGGTAGTAGAGAATAAGAGTTTGAATACGAGATGTATAATTTACTTTATATATAAAGCAAAGATCAGCCACAACCCGGTACATCACACGTCATCAAAACAGACGCACACACTCAAGGCAGGATACATAGGCACTGAGCACAACAACACCATCCCTACCATTACAAGAGCAACCGGGAGCCTCAATCGTAAACACGCCACCGTGAAGAGAAGAAGCTACACACGACGAACCGTGGGCTTCAAAGCGGTGCCTACAGGAATGTTACGACACCGAAGCACCGTCATCGCCCGACCCAAGAATCAGAGTTTATCCTGAAGCAACACGACGGGCAATGAGAGCCGTGGCGACACCATCAAGGAGGGAACGAGCTTCGCCGCCACCGGTCCTTCCGAAGATAGAACAGGTTTTCATCCCGGCCAATATTCACCGCCACCGAACATCACACCATGGCTATCACGCCGCCCACGCGGCCATGGCCACCAGGCAGCACCAAGCCACGGGCTTTGCCCAGGAGCACCGCGACACCACCACCAGGGTCCCCGCCGCGGCATCCAGGACCTTGACGCCACCTCACCCGCCACCCACCGCTACCCCAACCAAAGAGACAAGTGGAAAGGAACTGCCTTTTCACACCCCTGGGTTGTCCCCAGCGTCGAGACCCAATAGGCTGGCCAAAACTGGCCACCATCGACCCGTCCTTCCGCGGGGCATGAGATAGCTCGGTCCTGCCGCGGGGTGCAAGATGAGTCAGGTCCAGCTGGTGGGCGCGAGACGAGCTCGGTCCTGTCACGGGGTGCGAGATGAGTCAGGTCCGGCTGCTGGGCGTGAGACGAGTCAGGTCCCGCCGCCGAGCGCGAGACGAGCTCGGTCCTGCTGCCGGGCGCGAGACGAGTCCGGCCCTGCAGCCGGGCGCGAGACGAGCGATAGGCCGCAGCTGGGAGAGGGCCAACCCTCCGATGAAGGTAGCGAGCGGACGACAGAGAGAGGAATCGGAGGTCATCAAGGGCGCTCACCGACAGGCCGACGCCAAAAAAGTCCAGCCGCCTCCGCAAAACAACCCAGACCACCGCCATGGGCCACCACCACGCTGTGGCAGCCCATATCCACGCCGGGACCCCAAGGGGTAGCCCCGAGCCAGCGCCACCACCCTCGTCGCCAACGGTCGCCGCACGCAAGGTCGGCCGAACCCCACACCGCCACCAATGCCACCACCAGCACGAACCACCACCACCACCGCGCCACTGCCACCACCTACCACTACAGGGCTGCTGCCCACGGCCCACGCCGTCACAGGGCCGAGCAAGCAAGCCCACGTCCACCCGTCCGCCTAGACGCTGAAAGGATCGATATGGTTGACTAGAGGGGAGGGTGAATAGGCAACTAACAATTTTAAGCTTTTCTTTACCAAATTAAACTTTGCAACAAAATAGGTTGTCTAGATGTGCAATTAGGTGAGCAACCTATATGATGCAATAACAACTAGCACACAAGCAAGCAAGGATGTAACAACAAGTAGGCTTGCAAAAGTAAAGGCACGAAATGACCAAGAGTGGAGCCGGTGGAGACGAGGATGTGTTACCGAAGTTCCTTCCTTTTAAGGGGAAGTACGTCTCCGTTGGAGCGGTGTGGAGGCACAATGCTCCCCAAGAAGCCACTAGGGCCACCGTAATCTCCTCACGCCCTCACACAATGCGAGATGCCGTGATTCCACTATTGGAGCCCTTGAAGGCGGCAACCGGACCTTTACAAACAAGGTTGGGGCAATCTCCACAACAATCAGAGGCTCCCAACGAAACCACGAAGCTTCACCACAATGGAATATGGCCTCGAGGTGACCTCAACCGTCTAGGGTGCTCAAGCACCAAGAGTAACGAAATCCACACAAGAAAGTATGGGGGAAGTAAATATCCTTTGGTGGAAGTGTAGATCTAGGTCTCCTCCTTCAAACCCTAGCACATCAACAAGTTTGAGTGGCTAGAGAGAGAGATCGGGCAAGAGATCTTGAGAGCATCAATGGTGGAGTGAGAGAGGTAAGAGATAGGGCGTGGTAGGTGGAGGAACCACCTTATATAGCAACCCACTAAAATCCAACCGTTACTGTGTTTTCAGTACTGCATCGGTACAACCGCTCCTTGTCCCGGTACAACCGGGACTCACGATGCAACTGCAGAACCCTACCAGGCGGTACAACCGGGCCATCGGGCGGTAGTACCGGTCATTAGCAAATAACCGGACCAACCGCCCAGCTACCGCACAACTACCGCACCTAAACAGAACGGAGTCACCCTTGAGGGCGGTAGTTGGGCGGTGCAGGGCCGGTGCAACCGCCTGGTCTTGATCACTTGAGCGACTAAGGAACGAGCGGAAGAACCGCTCGAACCTCCGGTTGTACCGGTTGAAAAGGATCAACCGGACCAACCGGGCCACCACCGCCCAGCCACCGCATCAGGACAGAACCCTGACCGGTACATGGGCGGTACATGGCCGGAACAACCGCTGCTGGACTATGCAGAGTCAGATGGAGGTACCACCGCCCGGAGGCAGCGGTACCACCGCTCGACAGCAGCAGAGTAGCGTCAAGATCCAGCGGTACAACCGCTCAGACGAGCGGTACAACCGCTGGGAACACACAGCAAGGATTAGATGAGGAGGGAGGCACTCTCTCGACTAGAAAGGAGGAAAGGATGTGAACGAGAATGGACTCCCCTATTCTATCCACAGAGGATTCCCTCTAGAGTGTACGGGATCCCTACGACCAAAGAGATAAAAGCGTAGAGGATCCCGTCTTCAAATGATTCCTTCGAGAGAGAACCACTAACCAATGAAAGCCTAATCATTGAGAACCTGAAATAATTAGCACGGGATTAGACCAACAAATGGTCGTCATCATCATCCAAAACATAAGATAGGGAAATGCCCTTACAATCTCCCCCTTTTTGGTGGATGATGACAACAACACGATATAAGATAGAAGACTATAGAATCTAGATGGAGCTCCCCCTAGATGTGAGCCCCAGGTCGAGACTCCCCCTAGATTCTATAGGCTAGACATATAAAGCATATAACATGAAGGTAGCCAACACAAAGAAACAAGAGCAATACTACTAATTAAGACCAACAAGCATAACGAAGAGATAGCAGGAGTGGCACAACAACCACACAAAACAAACGATAACGACCAAAGTTCAACTGGAGACAACAGACAAGTTCAAAACGAGACACACAGTACGCAACCACCCATGCAACTCCCGAGTCCTATCACACTCTCTCCCCCTTTGGCATCAGGACACCAAAAAGGAAGAGAGCGAAGCTATCGCCCCAGGCTCAGTCGTCCTCCTCTGACTCCTCGGTAGCATCAAGGTCTTCATCATTGTCAGAATCTTCAACATCATCAGAAACTTCATCATCGTCCCGATCTGAGTCCTCCATGATATCATCAGCAGCAGTAACGGTGGTGGAGGGCTGAGGAGGGGCTTCATCATCAGTCCAGGTGCTGTGGGAGGATATCCAACGCTC